GCCCAATTCGAGAGAAAAAAGCAAATACTTTCACGAATCGGCCCCCGGGGGTGAGTCCTCTTCCCCAACTCGGCAGACTTCGGGTCATACCGCCTTGGGAAGGCCGCCCGAAAGGGCGCGTGACGGGCGAGGGGCCTTGTTCCCGTTGCTTAGTACCGGGGGGTTTGCGGGGCGTAGACGTCCCTTGTTTTGGCTTGTTTGTGCGCCCGATGGGAAAGTGTTCAGTTTTTAGTCAATTGCGTCAGCGAAGAGGTAGCGGGGTGTGCGCATTGTGTGATCTGAGGACGTTGGTGTCTAGATGAGGTGTCAAGAACCCTTTCAACCGGTAGGCGAGGAGGATGGACCCGGTTTCGTACAGTGACCATCTAGGCGCAGTATAAACAAGAACGTAAGTAGTTCCCGACAGACTCGCCGTCATCCTCAGGGTCTCTCTCCACCGGCCCATACCCACCCCCCAAGTTCAACTCCAACACCTCCCCCCCATTCTCCAACCCCCCCAGCACCTTTCTCATCCCCCGCTGCACAACCGCACTCCCCGTGCCCTCCTCCCCCACCGCAATCCTTCACCCGCCAAACCGCGCCCTACGCCTCCGCCGCGATCACATCTCGCCGCCCACCCCGCCGTTCTAGCACTGCCCACATTGTACCGTGGTATTCCCAAGACCGCTCGCTCGCGCCGAGGTCGGCGGCCAGGAGTGCTTCTAGAGCGTGAATCAGCAGGGCGGTCGCCGAGCGGCCCAGCCACGGGTAGCCCGAGTGGCCGGCGCGGCCGGTCGCGGTGAGGAGGGCGGTGGTGATGCCTTTGTGGCCGCACGCGAGGAGGTTCGTGGTGGGTTCGCCGAAGATGGCGGCGTGGAATTGGGGGCGCGGGGCGGGGTGGGAGGGGGAAGTGGAGGGGGGTGGGTTGGTGGAGAGGGAGCGGGAGAAGTGCTTCATGCCGTCGCCGGAGGTTTCTTCGCCTACGACGTAGAGGAGGACAATGTCGTTGGGGGAGATGGTGTTGTCGTGGAGGAGGGCGGTGGCGGCGGTGATTTGGGCGGCGACGCTGGCTTTGGCGTCGACGGAGCCCCGCCCGGAGATGACGGTGTTGCGCGGGAGGGTGGTGAAGTTGAGTGGGTGAGAGGGCGGGATGGGGGTGCCGTCTAGTGCGTAGGGGAGGTAGGGAGGGACGACGTCGATGTGGGAGGTGATGAGGGTGCGGTTGTGCAGAGTGCGGCGGGCGTTGCGGCCTGGCCAGGCGAGTACGTTGTATCGGGGCTGGTCGGTGGTGGAGGTGGAGGGGAGGGGTTGCAGGGAGACGGTGTAGTTGAGCTCGGTTAGGACCTTTTCGAGGAGGAGGGCGGCATCGCCTTCGGTGCCGCTGATGGAGGGGACGTTGACAAGGGCGCGGTGGAGGGAGAGGAGGGAATTCCGGTATGATGGGACATCGTCATAGTTAGGGACGGGTTGGAGATTGTCGGGCAGACTGTTTTGATATTGGGCCAGTGGTTGCTGCTCCGTGTCGGAACTGAATGCCGACGGAGCAACACTCAGGGTGCTGAGCAGCAGCAGGGGCCGAGTAGTGATCTTCATATTGACTCCTTAGGAGGCCAATTGGGGTTGGTGTTGAGATTGAAGTGAGTTGAGGATGAGGTTACAGTGAATAAGCTTCACACTCAATTGAGTGCCTTTGCGGTGTGATGAGGTCATGCCGAGCTGCAGCACGCCAAGCTGTTTGGCCGGGGTTCGGATGGTTTACGGAGATTTAAACAATTGATCAGGAAATACCCATGGTTCGCTACGGAGTTCTAAACCATTTAATTGGCCAAAATTATCCAATTCTCAGTTGTACGGTGGTCCAAAGCCCGCCTGCGTATGGCCAGACCTGTGGTACGGAGTTCCAAAACGACCATCTCTTTTTAACCAAACCAACCTCATCTCGTCATGTTGGGTAATTCCGACCTCAAAATGCTCCATAAAGAACCTCTGTTTATTCAGATCGACACCTCAGTTACTAACAGTGGTACACTCATAAGACGCATCGTAGTCTGACCCGGGTCACTTGCTAGGCAGCACGAAATTGTGCTAATTAGTAGAAACAAATTGTGTTGAGTCCGAAAACCGACGAAGTGATGGAACTAGCATGGCAGGCCAGGTGGGAGCAACAGAGACCAAGGCAAGAGTGGGTTGGTAGAAGTATGGCCGATGAAGACCCCCCAGCTCTCCTTTTCACGCAAAAAGCCCTACAGAGGTACGAGGGCCTTACGAAGGCCCAGAGTACCCTCCTTTCCCAGGCCCATATAGGGGATATAGGCCTTAAGGACTACCTATTCAGGGTTAAGGTCCCGGAGGTTCGTACCCCCTACTGCGGGTGCGGGGAAGGCAGGGAGACAGTAGAGCACTTGGTGGTTTGGTGCCCTGACCCAACGTTACAGAGACCGTGGGAACACCGGAAGATTCGGTCACATGGGGACTTACAAACCGTACTACGAGGAGTAGGTGCCCGGAGCGTTAGGCTTGTTAGGAAGGTCCTGGGCTGGCTGATGGACTCTGGCCGGCTACTGGAGTAAAGTCTAGCCAGAAGGCTAGAGCTAGAAACAGTGGAGGGAGGGGGCTAGAGAGTCCGGGGGCTGGCAAAGGGCCTCCTTTCTTTTCGTAGTAAGATGGATTCATACATTGTAGTCGCGAAGGGGTAGGCAGAGGTTTTGTCCGGCCCATAGGGTACGGTTTCCTTTGTAAATAGCGGTAGAAGGACCGGCGCGCCCACGGGCATATCGGTGTAGGAAATAATAATAATAATGATAAATTGTGTGAGTCCACCCGGAAATTCCATAAACTCGGCCGAATAGTAAACATCATTGAATGCGGTCTCCTAAACAGGAAGACTGCCATCGCCCAGTACTCGGCAGCGCAGGGGGGCGGTAGGTATGAAGTGCCAATAGCCCGAATTTGCGAGCTGCCCAGAAGTGTTGATGGCTGTGAGTAAAACATGAGGGGATGGCGGTGGTGTCGAGTCTTGATCGTCGTTGAACAGCATTCACCCAAGCAAGCACAAGATAGATGGCCTCGTACGCAAGGGAGACGAATACCTTCCTTCTACTACAAAAAGAGCCCCTCCCGCCTACCACCGCCACCTCTCCGGCAGCACCTGGCTAAAGTCAAACCGGCCGTCCGCCCCCTTCACCACCGCCCCCCTCTCCGTAACAATGGCATCAATCAGGTCATGCGGCGTGACATCAAACGCCGGATTCCACACGCCAATCCTCTGGTCCGCAATCGCGACCCTCGCTGTCCGACTCGCATCCACGCTCCCATCCGCATTAACCACCGCGCCCGTAACCTGCGTCAGCTCCTCCGGCTTGCGCTCCTCGATCTCGATCCCCGCCCCGCTCTCCGTCTCCAAATCAATACTCGTCGTCGGCGCCGCCACCACAAACTTGACCCCATGGTGGCGCGCCAGCACCGCCAGCGCATACGTGCCGATCTTGTTGGCCGTGTCGCCGTTGCGCACCACGCGGTCGGCGCCCACCACCACGGCGCCGATGTTCATGCGCTCGCGGTGAAGCGCAAACAGCGCCGCCGCCATGCTGTCGGTCACCAGCGTGGCGGGGATGCCCTCGAAGACGAGCTCGAACGCGGTCAGCCGGCTGCCTTGGTTGTAGGGGCGGGTCTCGGTGCAGTAGGCGTGCTTGAGGAGCTGCTGCTGGTGCAGGCTGCGGATGATGCCGAGCGCGGTGCCGTGGCCGGACGTGGCCAGCGAGCCGGTGTTGCAGTGGGTGAGGACGGAGAGCGGGCGGGAGGGCGTCGCGTGGTATTGCTGTTGGAGCCAGGCCGCGCCGTGGGTGCCGATGGAGGTGTTGTTATCGAGGTCTTTGGCGAGGATGGTCTCGGCGGCGGCGATGTATGCGTTCAGGATGGCTTCCTTGGCTTCGGGGTGGGCGAGACCCTCCACCGTGGCGGCGCGCGCGGCTTGCTTGAGGAGGGCGATGGCATTGGAGAGGTCGACGGCGGTTGGGCGGCTGTCCTTGAGGTAGTCGAGGCGGGACTCGATGTAAGCGATGGTGTCTTCTGGTGTTGTCGCGGCTGGGTGGGGGCGTCAGTGGTTGACTGAGGTTTGGTTGGTGTTGGTGTGCAGTTTTCAAGAGCACTCACTGCAGTCCCCGTTGTGTAACTCAACCGCATGAGCAAGAGCAGCAACAATGGCGATGGCGGGTGCGCCTGCAGATATTGTCAGAATCACAATCATGGGCAATTGGGTATGTCTATCAGCTCACCTCTAACCCTCATCGACCTGATGCAGTCAAAAGCTTGCTCGGCAGTCGACACCTCATCGTAGTGGTGTTCGTGGGGGAGTCGCAGCTGGTCAAGCACTAACAACTTGCCCCGCGAATATTTAATGGCTTGGAGAGTCGCCATGGCTGGAAGTGGACTATTTATGAGATCTAAAGTTGGAATTGAAAGAGAAGGACTGGCCGACAAGTCCCAAGGGAGTATCTCAAAAACAAAAGAATACCGGATTGTATTTATCAACTGAGAAAAAGGCTGTCGCAAAATTAAAATGTCTCTTCTTTCCCTCAGATCGCGACATGCCCCGCCACTTGATCCATGGTGGGGTATCGTAGCGTTGCTGCCAGGGGTAAGGCGTCCCGCACCGCACGTGGGGCTGCGTGGGTGCGCTGTGTGGTAGGGGTTGACATGGTAGCGCAGGCGGTGAAGCTGGGGTCGAGTATGCACCTTTCGGGCGCCATCTGCCATCTGCCATTCGCCGGCCCATTGCCATCAACAGGTCGACAGCTTAGACGAGGTCATGCCATAGACCGCCGAGTTGAGCATGGAACAGCCATTTTCGTCCTCCAAAGTCACAGGTAATACAATTATTCCACTTGCCCCTTCAGTGCCCCCATCCCCTCCAACTGACAATCCCCTTCCCAGTCGAGTACTTCGATCCCTACGATGTCTACAAGCTCCTTGCGCCGGGACTGATCCCTCGACTGCCCCTGCGCGACCTCAACTGGCAGTCCCACGCGGGGCCGCTACGCTCCATCAGCACCCTCCACGCCGAGCTCGTTCCCGCCGGAGTCGACTACTCGGGCATCTTCACCCCGCTCGCCTCTCCCAACCCCCCGACCCCGGGTCTCACCGAAACCGCGCCGGCCAAGAGTGACGATGGGTTTCAGACAGCAACAGTTGGTGGAAGGACGGGGTCATCAGAACAGCAGGGGGACGCGACAAGCGGCGCACTACGCCCGCCAGGAGGGGCTGCCACGAAAGAACGGCGGCACCAAATCCCCGGCTTGCGCAGGACGCCATACCTCAAAGTCCTGCTGCTGAGGTGTGATGACAATGACACGTACAAGTCAACCACCAGATCCGAAATACGCGAGTGGATCAAGACAAACACGACAGGCACCCAAGGGAAAACGGGCAGCGCCGAAAACCACGACGCCTGCGAGTGGCTCATCATCCACGTCGTCCTCCCCAACTCCACCGCCGCCACACAGCCGCGCATCTCGGGCAAGGCGCCAGACTCGAGTTCCGATGGCAAGGCTTCCATCAAGTGGCGCGCAGGGTCGAGCACCCTCTTGGAGAAGCTACGCGCCGACTTCAACGGCTCCACCAAGGGCGCCCCCGACCGGGTGCGGCAGATCCGCATCGGCATCAACGATGTGCCGTACAACATGCTGCCGCGCGTCGTACCGGCCGTGCCCACGGGATACACCGAGAACGAGCAGGACGCCGACAACGCGTGGGCCGACCTGATTGCCAAGTTCAAGGAGCTCATCCTCTCGAGCTTCGACCGCCGCGTCACCCAGTACGAGGAGGACATTAAAGAGCGGGACGCCCAGAGGAGCCTTCCGGGTTGGAACTTTTGCACCTTTTTCATTCTGAAAGAAGGCCTGGCACGTGGCTTCGAGAGCGTCGGCCTGGTTGAGGATGCCTTGGTCGTGTATGACGAGCTGAGTGTCGGGCTGGACAATATCATCCAGGCGCAGGCCGCCGGGGGGTCCGCCGAAGCAAACGGCGGCGCGTTGCTTAGCTACACCGAGGATCTGAAGGAACTAGCACAAAAGGCCATGGCCGAGATTGCTGGTGGACATATCGAGTTCGGTGAGGGTGAGGGCGAGGGCGAGGCTGTCGATCTCCAGTCCAGCAAAAAGAAACGGGCCCGAAAACGACAGCATCCCCATCAGCTCAACCAAAAAGTTGTACCGGGATCTGATCCTGGCAAACAATGTGTCGTTGCTCGACTTCAGGTGCTACATATTCTCCCGCCAAATCGCCGTGCTCCTCCGGCTAGCCAATGCGTGGTCGTCGCGGGACGAGCTGCTAGCCAAGCTCAAGGAGCAGCAAGAACTGGTTCCCAAGGGGGTTGCTCCAAGGGCGCCGGCGCCGAAGATGACCGAGGAGTCCGAAAATCTCACCCATCTGGCGGAAATCTGCAAGCGGACGCTCGAGTTCGTCCCCGCTGTCTCAGCCGTCATGAGGGCAGACATCATTGCCGCAATGACGGCGGTTGAAAAGGCCGAGCAAGGTGAAGCCGAGTCGCAGGTCTCCCTCGACCCTCTTCTGGCAGAGGTCATTGACAACATGGTCGCCTCGTTCGCCTTCTCCATCGCTCAGCAAATCCTCGCTCAGACATCCACCAAGGCGCTGCCCATCCCGCCGTCTACCCTTGGCACGTCCGAGCACACGGAGCAAAAGGCCTCAATACCGGAGCCGAAAACCATGATGCATCCGGCGAGGAGCTCGTCGTTGCATAGCCAAGGGCCTCAAGGCGCACCGCGCAGCCCGGTCGGCTTTCCTGGCGCGAACCATGACGACTCGCTCCCTCCGCCGTATCTGAAATCCGGTCTTGAGGACCTCGCTGCCCAAAGAGCCGAGCTGTGTGCCCTATCCCGAAACATCCTCGAGGAGTGCGGCAAGAAGCGGGGCTGGACCGACGGCTAGGCCTCGGTGCCAATCGTGGGCGAGTCTGGCATTACCGAGATGGAGGAGGTCAGCTTAGACGACGACGCGGCCGAGCCAAAACAAAAGGCGCCCGAAAGGCTCCAGACCTCGGTGGCCGGCGTCGACAACACGCTCCTGCGGGCGGCCCTGGACAACAAGGACGACTTTTACCGCCTGTACGAGACGCTGATTGATAAGGCACTGCGTCACTACACGGTGGCCAACCACACGCACTCGGTCCAGGCCAGCATGGCCGACCTCGCCGTCCTCAAGTTCCACCTCGGGCGAGTTCACCGAGGCCTCCGGTTCTACTTCTACCGCGTCATCCCCTTTTACGGCGAGAGCGGGTGGAGCCTACTCGAGCTGTCCATGCTCGTCATGTACGCCCGGTGTCTGAAGGAGCTCAAGCGGCTGGACGACTACGTCAACAAGGCGCTGCGGCAGCTCTTGTGCAAGGCGGCTATGGCCGAGAGAGACAAGCGGCAGCAAAAGTCGAAGCTCCGGTTAAGCATCGCGTCGGCCACGCAGTATCCCGACACTTCTGCTATATCCGGGTTCCTGGCTGATCTGCTGGAGGTGTCGGCATCGCTTGAGAAGGATGTCAGGGTCCCATTGACCAATCTGTTTTGTGACTTGGGTCTCGACGGGCCCCCGTTCTACGACGACGACCAGGACAGCTTTTCGCTGTTCTTTGATCTCCGTAGTCTGTTGGTGGACGAGTTCGAGGCCAGCTCGGTCAGCTTGCGGATCTCGAGTCCCACGGGAGGGAGCAAGGAAATCTGGCTGCAGAGCAAGGGCCCCGTCACCATCCGGCCCGGCCCGAACAAGGTGAGGGTCCAGAGCACCGTCATGATGGAGGGGGCTTTCGAGGTGGACCAAGTCCGCCTGACCAGCAACAAGGTGCTGATGCACTACGACCGAGACATTTACCAACAGCCCGTGGACAAGGGCTGGGCGGGCTTCAAGAGCCCGCGCGTTAATCTGTACCAGCGCTCCAGCTGTCTTGATGTGCAGCTGCTGGCTGCCGAGGAGCTGCAGCTGGACAAGAAGAAGTCGCTGGACCTTGAGGTTTCGACCGGGTGGAACGATATCACCACATGCGAGGTCAAGATCAAGTCTGCCACGGGCGGCCTGCGAATGGTTATGAGCGAGGCCAAGGTGATCGGGTCGCCGCAGCCGACAAGCTCGCAGGGCGGTGCGTTTACGTTCGGCGCGATGGAGGCGAACAGCTCCATCAAAATCCGGTTCCCGTTTACCGTGGAGCATGATGTCCTCGATGTGGCCGTCCGGGCCGAGGTGACGTACTCAACCGATAAGGGCACCTTCACCTTCTTCAAGGCCTCGTCGGTGCCCATCTCGCTCGCTCTCGAGGTGAACGTGCAGGACATCTTCAAGCACGACGCCCTTTTTTCGCGGTTCGCCGTGTCGACCGCCAGCGACAGCCCGCTACGGCTGCTCAAGAGCGAGCTGATCGGGTCTGATTTGTTCGAGTCCCACTTCGGGCAGCCGTCGAGCCATCCCGTCATGGTGTTCCCCAAGCAACCAGCCAGCCTCCTGTACAAGATCACCCGCAAGCCCGGGTCGAAGCTGGACCCCAAGGCCAAGAAGACACTCTACCTCAAGCTGCACTACAGCGTCATCCAAGACGAGATCGCGGCGCTCTTCTCGCAGGCTCTCACCGCCGCCCTCGCGACCACGCCACTCAAGGAATTCTCCAAGGTCCTCGTAGCCGCCGTTCTCACCAACGTCCGCTCCGGCCTCTCGGCCTACGACCTCGAGAAAGCCACCCTCCTCGGCGAGCTGCCCACGGCCTTTCTCGCCGCCATCCCCTGGGAGAAACACCTCCCCAGCGTTAGCCCCACCCAACACAACAACACCTCAAAAACAACCGCAACCCTCCCGGGCTTCCTCCGCGCCTGGCTGCGCACCCATCCAACCCTCCCCTTGCCGCTCGCACCAACAACAGACCAGCCCCCACACCCCGCCATCACCCCGACCACCATCCTCATCCCGGTTGACATCCCCCCAGTGTCGGTCGTCCACACAGCCGACATCCGCTTACAGCGCCCGCTGCCTTCGCTTACCGCACCCCGCCCCCACCACAGCAACCACCAAGAAAACGGCGATGCCAACGGCGATGGTGGTGACAAATTCGAAGATGAAGACACCACCGAAGGCTGCCCCACCGTCCTCCTCAACCAGGTCCTCCCCGCCACCCTCCACCTCAAATGGACCCGTCTCTGGGACACCGACACACCCACGCCCGGCCCAGGCGGAACTGCGACAGCTGAGCCACGGACGCGCGGCCGCGACTTGGAGTTTGTGTACGAGATTGTTGCGGCCGCGGATACTTGGCTAGTTGGGGGAAGGAGGAAGGGGCATTTTGTTATTCCGGCGGTGGGGACGCCAACTCCTTCGGGTTCTGGTTCTGGTTCTGGTGGTGGTGGTGATGGTGATGGGGAGGGGGGCGTGGTGGGGTTAAGCTCGACGGTGGAGACGGAGGCGGAGATTCCGGTGGTGTTGGTGCCGTTGCGGGAGGGATATTTACCGTTTCCGGGGGTGGAGATTCGGGAGGTTGGTGGTGGTGGTGGTGGTGGTGCTGGTGCTGGCGGTGGGGGAGATGGGGATGGGAGTCCGGGTGTGGGTGGGGTTGGGAGTGGTGGCGGTGGTGGTGGTGGTGGTGGTGGGGGGTATGGGCAGTGCGAGACGGATTTCCGGAATCTGGGGG